TCGGCTCTTGGTTCATTCGTGGTTTGTGACTTCGACCATCAATCAAACCGTGCAGCCATGAAGTAAATCTGTCACAATCAGAGTTGTCGCACGGATAATTGCCAAAAGCTGAGAAATTCACAGAACGTGATTTATACAGGAGAAAATTTCGCCTTTATTATATTGGTCACATTATATTATATTTGTCACATTATAGAAACACCAGTGAACCAGTTACCACGTCACTCATGACTGGGAATCGTGCATCGTGATTTCAGTCACGAAAAGTGACGGTCGACTGAAAAATGTGCAGTGGCGGACCGTTACCAAAGCTACCAAACAGAGACAGTGTAACGGCCTCACGAAGTGCCGATAAACTGTGTGACGGACGTGACGAACAGACACCGCTCTCGACGCAATCGTGTTTCCAAATCCAAAAATATATATTATTTACGCTTCAGCACTCCAATCACCTTAGTATTGCCATTCACGTCCACCGAACCGGTGGGTAAACGGTCTGTAAAATATGGCGAGAAGCTTTAACGTTAGATCTCCCACTAGTCTAGTACGGTCACGGGTCATAATTAGCCACTATATGCAGCGCCATGGTCTGGAGACCTCTCCAACAGTCCACCTACATCCCAAGGCCGGCCGTCTTCAGTACGCACCGCCCTCGGACGTCAAACAGCCCACGTGAGGGAGGGACGCTCCTCGGCACCTCTGACCAACGCCTGCGCTGACAGGGGAGTCAACATGTCACCGAGCTGAGTGGACGGGGGTGACAGCGAGCACAGCTCCAGTCGAGGTCAAATGAGGACCTGAGGCGACGGCTGGCCAGTCGAGATGTGAGCAATGACATGGAGAGGGGGCTTGCCGTCAACTATAGTAGTGCTACTATACTGCATCCTAGATGCGTTCATTTGCATGCTCATGCAAATGAACGCATCTAGGATGCAGTTTTTGTTTGTAAACCACGTAATTTCAATTGAAGACCGCGTAGTTTTTATGCACCCCAGCAATGACAAGACCTTTCATCTTTAAATTCCCCCTAACCTTGACCTGTAATGACGTCATGGACCTCCTCCCCTCCCCCTCCCCCCCCCCGAATCACAAATGGTATCAGACGACCAGGAAGCCTCCCGTTCGTTCATGTATCATCCCGATACCCATCGCCTCGCGGGCGCCGTCGCGGTCACAGCATCTCCGCCGCGGGGATGCCAGCGGCGCCGAGCGCGGGCACGCACCCACCTTTCACAGGGAACAATCGAACAAAGGGTTTGCCAAGGTCCTATGGAAACGAGACCGAGTCCATTGCGACACTGACCCACCAAATTAAAACCGGCGGTCAAATGGCTAATTCCACTGCCGTCAGCGTCTGTAATAATGCCGGGAGAGACACCCGTCATAGACAAAACACTCGCCATAGTTCAGCAGGGATGACTACAGCGAGCCAACGCTACTTGGCATGCCGCTAGAGCGACTAATTTCAGACACCAACGCGCACGACAAAAGTCCGGCGAGCGATAAGAATCTCCCGGTGTAACAGGGCACATGAGTCGGCCAATCAAACGGTCGCGATAATTTCAATGAGCGGGTCTGTATTCAGGGCGGGACTGGCGCCTGGGACGGGGAGGTATTGGGTCAGCCTGTCGCTCAGTGGCCATATGACGGTCCACAAATCATCAGCTCTATCTCAGATTATACCGGTCGTCATACACAGGAGCAAATGTCATGTGATGTAACCGGAAACAGGGGAGTGAATGGAACATGCATAAACGGAAGGAAAGACAAAACAAAGAACATGGACAGGACAAGTTACGCTTAAAACAAATACGGGAAGAAGGAAACGAGCAAAATGAGTGGAATGGGAAGCATACCCGGGATGATATTATAAACAGAAGCACGACCAGTGAGAAAAGGCAAGGACGGTATGCGCCAATCCATCAGCCCTGTCATAGCTCGGTCAGGGCGGACGTGACGGAAAGGTCTCCCTCCTCTTCCCCTCTCTCCGGAAAGAGCACTCGGACTCGACGGGCCCCTCTCCATCCCCTCAGGCGACGCAGTCTCTTGTCAGCTCCTCATTCAGTAATACTAGTCCGTGACTGTGAAATGGATTGATAGCATGCATCCACACATGCCCTGACAGCTTATAACTAGCAGTTGCTAGACTGAAGTCATTGGGGCAACCAATGAACTCAAGTGCGTGAAAGGCAGCATCATCAGATCTGGTCAGGGTTTCTTTGGGATTATCCCACCCTTGCCAACTAGCTCGTCATCTTGGGAAAGTGGCAGCCAAGTAGCGAGAAGGCTTGTTATCTGCCCGTGCAGATGTCTGAGATACTAGCTAAGATACTCCACTTTAAAGACGTGACGGTGCGACTTTTACTCACGAGTCCATTCATCATTACCATAGTTAGAAACAGACTCCCTCAGAATCTAATGGCTATTCATTATCATAACAAACCGATGCTAGCACATAACCATAAATAAAGCCTATCTTCCGATAGAAACTGACACGAAAATATGACCATTTAGAACAAGATGACCTCCAGATAGTTATCATTCAACACTCAATAAATCGTTACTAAGGCTCCAACAGATAATTACGTTGCCAATCATGCTAATCAGTCGATGATCGCCACAGCGGCAGCGGTGTTACTTTCGAAGAGCGTAGGAGCTCATTGAAAAGATGTTCGCGGAATCACAGACAGGATCAGGCTGAGTTGAGTGTAGTGTTGCCACGGGCAGCAAAAGGGCATAACGTGAAGTCATAAGATAAGTGACAGGTTTTTGAAGGTAGCTCGGAGAGTGGTTACAGAGCCTGTGTTATCGCCAATCGCTAATACATGTCACTATCAAAGTTTGTTCAAAGAATACTCATTAGCAAGGCGGTAAATCTGAGGCAATAACAAATCCAACCTTTCTTCTCGGTCTGTGAGAAACCACTCCCGCTTAGTGTAAATGTCACTATAATCGCCCGCATAACCCTGCCAGCCCGGACCCTAACCCCTGACCCGACCTTCCCCCCCCCCCTTGACACGCGTCCCACCCCGTCATCCTCCCCCATTACCAAACACCCCATCCCCCAATTACCCACATTAGCGAGCAGACCGCTAACCGGCCTATAGCGTGCGTCGCCACCTGAGGACCGCTCTATGTAGATGACACGTCATTGGACGTTCCACGCCCCGCCTGAGGGCATTCCGGTGCACACCACGCGACCCACGGGTGACCTCCGCGTGACCTCTGTCGACAATAGGCCCCGCCCACTGCCGGTGACGTAACCAGTTAAACTGGGGGCTAGCTCACAACCCCACCCCAGGTATGACGTCGTCATAGCCAGCTCTCAATAGACACATCAGAGACCCTTCAGTCCGTCGGCCCACAGTTTGATTGATCGGGAGACACCGTGATGAGAATTTACGCCCGAACCCGCGCAACTACTAAGGTTATCTGTCCGTAGAGTGATGGATAGACGCTTATCTCATTCTCGTCACCAATGAAGAGCGGTTGGGCTGGTCAGGAAACTGTGATTTAGAGAGTCTAAACTGCGTATTTGAGGTCCAACGCGAGAGGAGAGGTCATATAGGTCGGCAGTGGAAAATAAGTACGGAAGGAAGAGACGCACAAGGGTGCGTCTATGAACCACTAACAGAAGACTGCCGCGGTTCAAATTATAGTACGAGCGGCCCGGCATGCTAGATCATGGACTCGGCATGGACCGGGCTCAGCCATGTTCTGACGACCTCTCGACCTCTGCTACTCCTAGAATATAACCAAATTGCTGAGTTTCAATACCACATCTTTCAATACCACATCTACCACATCTCGTAGCTTGTATGCTATCCGTAATAGTCAGACTGACTTCCTGTCTGATGAATAATGTCTACACCCTTTCTGTATCCGTTCTTACATGACATGGTGCACCCCTGGCCATTCCATCTCCCCAGCCAGCTCAACCTTCGACCAACAGCACACTGAATCTCAAACCCAGCACTACACCTGGCGCCGGGCCTCTGCCCCGCTCCCGTGACTCAACATAATCAGAGGGCACCTTCTCTGATTGAACTGTCAAAACAGAGGCATAACTCCAGCCCGGGCCGTGCATACGGGAGAGCTCCGTAATTCAGTTAGTGATGGTAGCTACGAAATTAGACAAGTGCATTGACCAATGAATTGAACCGCTCTGCTTGTATTTATTGCATATGACGTACTCAGGAATTTATTTACCATCACAGAGCACAGATTTTCCGTTCAACCTTCTTCATAGCATTAATTCGCGAGTGCTGGTATGCATTCACTACCTAATGGTTTACAATCCCCGCCCTTTGGCTACCCCTGAAGCAAAACCCCACCCCTAGCAAACCATTTCTACCGTACTCCCAATGCCACCGAACGTTATCTAACGTTATCTTAGTCATCCCGTAACCACAGATTAGGCCGTCCCGCGGCGCTTACATTGCGTGGGCATGGTCCGTTGCACTCGGCTGAACTCGCAATAGACAGCCCGCCGGCCGCGGCCGCGAGCGGCTCTACAAGGTCACGGCGGCCGAAGAGAGGGGCGGGGCGGAGGGAACGTGGCGAAGTGTAGATACTGCCATCTAGGGGAGGGTGGAGTAACCTTAGCTTCAGGAGAGGCCGTGCGGAGCGCTGCTTGATGGATAACTTCGAGTATCTGCTACCCCACAGACTGGACACAACGCAGAATAATCCCTCACAAGAACGAAAGAAACTCAAGCTGTTGGAAAAGCCAAGTCGACTCCGCACCACTCATCAAGAAGACAATGCCGAGAAAACGTCTAGCCCATAGACTTCCATGCCTTGCTTACCAGTTCAATGGAAGAGGCCGATTTTGCAATGCATAGCCCAACTCTGGCTTTGATGTCATCACAGCCAAGAATGACCAGGCCGTGAACACATCTTGGCATTTTGCCGACGTGCCCAGTTTGGGCGTTTCCATGGACTTACCTTGGCCATCGGGTCGGTGGGAGAGCCCAGTTTGGGCGTTCCTGTGGACTTACCTTGGCCATCGGGTCGGTGGGAGAGCCCAGTTTGGGCGGAACGGTGGGGGTCGGCACTGGCATGGGTTTCCGATGTCCGTGTATGCTCGAGCTAGACGATAAACTGGAAACACAGGCACAGGGGTCAGGTGGGGTGGACATTGCGGTAAAGGAGATACACCACGTCACAAAACAGCCATGGAATGACAGTAACGGCAAACAGTAAACACCCTCAGATGGAGTCTACGACGGAAACTATTTTCACATAAATGGCACCGTTGATTACCCTCGCCTCAATGAGTATGTGGTGAACAACAAGTCCCTTTCTTACCTGAGTGAGTATACACTCACGGTGTGTTAGTTTTTGTTTGTTTGCTTATTGGGGCTTTAGGGCGCGCCGACTGCAAAGGTCATTTTGCGCCCTGAGTTAGTTCTTACCTGGGCGAATGTGAGTATATGGTGTAGGTTGTATCTCTCTTACCTGGGAGAGTGTAAGTAGTGTGTTCTGTATCCCTCTTGCCTGGGTGAGTGTGTGTATACGGTGAGTTATTCCTCTCCTACCCGTGTGTGAGTACATAGTGGGTTACATTTATCTCACCTGGGCGAGTGTGAGTATATAGTGAGTTCTTACCTTGGTGCGAGTAGGTATACGGTGTGAGTTATAACATTCTTACCTTAGTGAGTGTGAGTATATGGCGGGCCCCTCTTACCTGGGTGAGTGTGAGTATATGGTGGATTTATGGCGAGTTCTGCGTTTCTTACCTGGGTGAGTGTGACTATATGGTGGGCGTTTCTTACCTGGGTGAGTGTGAGTATATGGTGGGCGGCGGGGTGGTTTTGACGGCCTCGGCCATGGTGAGCGGCCGCGCGGCTCCTCCCTCGGCCGGAGTGAGCAGCTCAGTCTCCATATCGTCCGGCGGCGGCTCGCTGGAGTCCAGCCGGCCCAGCGGGCGCTGGAGCGTACCTGCAGTAGTGCGGAGACGGGGACATGAGTTTCAGGGCCGCCGGAATAGTGCAGGGGACAGGAAGCTATGAGAAATCTGTTTGAAGCGAGTAGGGGAAACCTTTTACTTTTTCGGAAATATTTATCTTACATGATATTCGACACTCAACTGTATTCATTTCGCAAGTTCCGCACAAAAACAGTGGCCATAAAAGGCATCATCTCCTCAAACTCACCACTCTCATTGCACCCTCACTCCCCGCTCTCTCCTTCCTCCCTCCCGCCCCCTCTCTCTCCCTCCACTCACTACTCTGACTGGACGGCTCCCGAGGACACCTCCCTCCCTCCCTCCCTCCCTCTCCCTCTCTCCCGACTCACTGCTCTGACTGGACGGTCCGGAGGAGACCTCCGACCCCTGCGCCGCCGGCAGGTCGCGCTTCATCAGACGACCCCAAGTGGCCACGTTGATGTTCATCTGTTTGGGACGCAGGATCGTCTTCCCCTTGTGCTTGAAGATCTTCCGCTGTCGCTGCAGCTTGGGCCGGCGCGAAATCATCGGGTTCAGGAATTTAATCTGCCGCCGAGAAGGATGACAATCGACGGGTTAGCGTTAATATGTAAAAACATACCCACCAAAGCTGCAGGGAGAAATGGTGCATAAACTGGGCGAATTAGAGGATCCCTTTATTTCATGCATTGGCTTTCAGCAAAGATGTAGCTTGGTCTAAGTAGAACCTCGAGAAATGTGTTAGATATCCGCAGAAAAGGTACCTGACCTTACTCTAAGTTACACCAACAGATTACGTCTCTACCATTCCCCACCAAACCTTAGCGACAGTACCGTTCATAACCCTCTGAGCAGTACCAGCACACTGTACTTCAGCGAAGAGGAGTCCCTCTCCTCCCCCCAGGGTATCCCACTGAACTAACACACGGTACCTCAGCGAAGGAGAATAACTCCGCTCCCCCACGTTACCTCAGCGAAGAGCAGTCCCTGCGGCTCGAGTTGGAGCGCCATACCGTCACGGACGTCATCAATAAACTCCTCCAGACGGAGGAACTTGACGGCACACAGCGAGCGCCAGTCGCGCCAGTAAATGTCCACCTGTGACGGACGGGTAAAAGTCAGTCACCGGGGGCAGTCAGGCATCAGTCACCCAACCAGTCCACGACAGCACAGAGAGCGCCAATCGCGACAACAGGTGTTCACATGGAACGGACAGTCAACAGTCAGGCACCTTAAGCGCCATATTTGTGTTATGAGGTTATCGGTGGAGCCAACGAATAACTAAATGCACAATTGTTGGCTCCACCGATAACCTCATAACACAAATATGTCCCTAGATATTAAGCGCCATAATATCGGAGGTGGTATGAGTCGCAGGTATTGAATGGCAAGGGACGGTAGCAGGTCTCATAAACGTCGGAAAAATGAAAATATTACACCTACTGGGCCCAGTTTCACCAAGTGGGGTAATTTCGGCATGGGGTAGATTTCCATTCTACCCCATGGGATAGAATCCAGTTTCACCAGCTCAAACTACCCCCATGGGGTAGTTTCGGCATCTCTTGTGAATGTTTGCTAAGCAAGCAGCATCAGCAAAACAACGGAACGTTTTGATTGGTCGAGAATTTCATTTCACGACGGCGTGAAATGAAGAACACATTCGATTTGGCTTCTTGTATTTGTCTACCAATCACCTTGGTAACGATGGCACCATGGCACCTCAGTTTCCAAGATTCACAACTTTATTGAGAAAGGAATGCAATGCACAACCGCGAATCTTGATGGATAGGTTACATTATCGAATATCTATTTATCTAGTTTTAATATCGAATAGTATCGAATATTTTAATATTAATTGTTTTAGTAAATTAGATGCTTAGATTAGATGTTTAGATTAGATATTTAAGATTAGATTAGATGTTAAATTAGATTAGATGTTTAGTGTTTTATAATTAGAATGTTTTAGTAAATTAGTGCATGTTTTAGTATCGAATACACCTTGCTTGGTATTTTTGACGACTTTTAACTACGAATCCTTTGCACCAGATGCTTTTTATTTCTAATGTGCATTACAAAATACATACATTACAGATGCACGGCACATAACGCAACTTAAAGGGACTATCCCACCTTCTAAAATGTTGTTAAAACCAGTTAAATTGTGCCCGACTTTATAGATTGGATGACCAGGAACACGGTTCTGGCATTTATTTTTCATTAAACATCTTAGGCTTCCCATATTCCAAACACAAACTTTCAAATATGTGACGTCACAGCCCAAAATTACCTCCTTCCCCAGGCCACATTACTGTCATAAAGCTGATTCTTTTTACTCTGTAGGCACCACAACTAAGTTCAGACCAAGTTTTAAGCGATTTTTCAACGAACAAACCCATTTAAATCAGAATGACTAAACGAGGTGACGTCACACTAACGGTCGCTCCATGTTGAAGATAGGGCCTTGCACAAGGCCCATTTTCAAATGAAGGGAACGAATTTCTTCAACACCAAGAGGCCGCGGGGGTTGCAACTTAGATAGATAGTGGTTTCTGAACCTCGCCGCAAACTTGGCTATCTCAACTCAAACCCCATGTTAAAGGTGGGATAGTCCCTTTAATTGAGATATGCACAACAGCGACAAAAAAAAAGATATGGAAAGTATCGAATCCACTTGGCCTGGTATTTTTAACAACTGCTTCTTACGAATTTCGTGCACCATATGCTTTTTATGGTATTATGATAGCAGGCGTCTCACATGCTGCCACCGGTTTGGGAAAAGTCGCTAGATTCGTCAGGTCTAGAGATATTTCTACCAAGTCGCTATATCATAGCGATATAGGGTTATCACATAGTGGTGAATGGTGATTTCAAAAACGGAGTCAGTTTTTTTCTGAGCTGGCGGGGGGGGGGGCGTTTGGGGGGATTGCCCCCCTTGCCGATAGCTCGGGAACGGCTGATCGGAGCCAGGCTTGCAAGGCGGCGTTGGAAAGCGGTCGAGTGGACAAGCCTAATTAGCAATGCAAACTATCATCGGGATACTGGGGGGGGGGGGGCGTAGGGGGGGATTGCCCCCCTTGCCGATAGCTCGGGAACGGCTGATCTGAGCCAGGCTTGCAAGACGGCGTTGGAAAGCGGTCGAGTAGACAAGCCTAATTAGTAACGCAAACTATCATCGGGATACTGGGGGGGGGGCGTAGGGGGGGATTGCCCCCCTTGCCGATAGCTCGGGAACGGCTGATCGGAGCCAGGCTTGCAGTTGCAAGGCGGCGTTGGAAAGCGGTCGAGTAGACAAGCCTAATTACTTAATTAGTAATGCATACTATCATCGGGATACTGTGGGGGGGGGGCGTGTGTGTGTGTGTGGGGGGGGGGTGTTGCCCTTGACCGATAGCTCGGGAACGGCTGATCGGGGCCAGGCTTGCAAGGCGGTGTTGGAAAGCGTTCGAGTAGACAAGTCACTATCATCGGGATACTGGGGGGGGGGGGTGCGTTTGGGGGGGATTGCCCCCCTGACCGATAGCTCGGGAACGGCTGATCGGAGCCAGGCTTGCAAGGCCCCCCCCCGTATCCCGATGATAGTTTGCATTACTAATTAGGCTTGTCTACTCGACCGCTTTCCAGCGCCGCCTTGCAAGCCTGGCTCCGATCAGCCGTTCCCGAGCTATCGGCAAGGGGGGCAATCCCCCCCTACGTCCCCCCCCCAGTATCCCGATGATAGTTTGCATTACTAATTAGGCTTGTCTACTCGACCGCTTTCCAACGCCGCCTTGCAAGCCTGGCTCCGATCAGCCGTTCCCGAGCTATCGGCAAGGGGGGCAATCCCCCCCTACGCCCCCCCCCCAGTATCCCGATGATAGTTTGCATTACTAATTAGGCTTGTCTACTCGACCGCTTTCCAACGCCGCCTTGCAAGCCTGGCTCCGATCAGCCGTTCCGGAGCTATCGGCAAGGGGGGCAATCCCCCCTACGCCCCCCCCCGTATCCCGATGATAGTTTGCATTACTAATTAGGCTTGTCTACTCGACCGCTTTCCAACGCCGCCTTGCAAGCCTGGCTCCGATCAGCCGTTCCCGAGCTATCGGCAAGGGGGCAATCCCCCCCTACGCCCCCCCCCCCCCCAGTATCCCGATGATAGTTTGCATTACTAATTAGGCTTGTCTACTCGACCGCTTTCCAACGCCGCCTTGCAAGCCTGGCTCCGATCAGCCGTTCCCGAGCTATCGGCAAGGGGGGCAATCCCCCCCCCCCCCAGTATCCCGATGATAGTTTGCATTACTAATTAGGCTTGTCTACTCGACCGCTTTCCAACGCCGCCTTGCAAGCCTGGCTCCGATCAGCCGTTCCCGAGCTATCGGCAAGGGGGGCAATGCCCCCCAAACGCCCCCCCCCCGCCAGCTCAGAAAAAAAAACTGACTCCGTTTTTGAAATCACCGCTATGTGATTACCCTATACAGCGACTTGGTGGAAATATCTCCAGACCTGACGAATCTAGCGACTTTTCCCAAACCGGTGGCAGCATGTGAGACGCCTGCTATAACAATACCGCTTTTTATTTCTAATGAGAATTACCTAGGTATGCACGACACATCCTCTTGCGGATTTAGGTACGGCATTTTATATTGATTTCAGTTGTTAGCGTCTTGATATTTGCTGGATATTTGCACATTGACCGTAATACATAGATGCCTCAAATCAAGGCCATATATAGGCTCAAATGATAATTTGAATAGATCACACAAGTACTTGGATCATTTCAACAAGACGCAGCATGTAACCACCGTGAATAATGTGCATTTTTATTGTTTATATTTCAAGGCTTCCTCATCCGGTATTCAAGGTCACTGTTGAAGAAAACTTTTAATAGTTAAAAAAGTAAAATTCCTGGCATTCAGCTATGGGCGACATCTATGTATAATGCTTCTTTTGGTGTTGTAGATCACAAGCATGGTGGCGCAGGCTACATGCAGTAAAATACTTGGATGAAATTTGAAGTAGGTATGCTATGAATAATTTGTACTCAAACGTGACAGGTGATTGGACTTCAATAAATTATGTTCTTATTACTATTTTACTGTCAATTCTTGCTCACAATCGGTATCATATTCACAGATTACCCCACGAATGTCTGCCGTAATTTTGGTCGGATATTTGGGGTAGAACCGACGATAATCAGCTGATTGATTGGCTTGTTCAGTTGCTCACGGACCGTGAGCATCTGTTTGCATGGCAAATTTGGGGTAAAATAAGAACTACTCCATGGGGTAGTTTGGAAGTGGCCAATCAGAACCTACCCCATTTGGTGAAACTGGTTTGGGGTAGTTTCGCCGAAACTACCCCAAACAGAGCTTGGTGAAACTGGGCCCTGGAGGGCATTCAATTGACACGTGCTCTCCATATTTTAGCTTCTCACGATTTTTGTCCCACTCCGCACAACCCAACATCAAGAGTAACACATCAAACACAACACAGATGAGACCTGACAACGCATCTCGTCCAGAACACTACAAAGATCCCACCCCTGCCCACCCAGTTCCGACATGTATGTACCCCCACGGGCGCTCCTACCACTTACCTCGAGCTCGCGCGACTTGTCGAGGTCGATGGAGAAGCGCTGGTCCCAGGCCTGCTGGGAGCACGCCTTCCAGCTGGTCTGGCCCACGGCCACGTTGTCCAGCTTCAGCACCGCCATAATCTCATCTGAACGACGGCGCGGCGGGGAAGGTTAGGAGCGTGAAAAGGGGGAGACTAACAGCAAGATACAGCGCTGCATTGGCTGAAAATGATTATATGTAATGCGTTAGAGCATCAATAGCAGACAGGAAAAGTGACCACTTATTTATTGGAAAGTAACTACTTTTTTACCGTCATGAAAGTAAGACCTTGGAAGAAATATAATTGGACATATTATAATTTGTTGAGCTGATTATAGAGGTTAATTACTGCAGAAACATGAACAAATTAAATGCAAATCACAAACAAATTACAACATAATGTTCCATACTAAATATATTCTGTGAAATGCACCATAAACTGCCCATGTATCTGCAGCAATTGTCAAGAAAGTCCCCCGAAAAGTGAAACCCAAGCGTGCAGAGCTTTGTGCACATTTACAGTACAAGTGCAGTGTTCTGATCCTCAGCTCCCGTGAAAGACAGACAGACAGAGAAGAAAACAGTGAAGAAGAGAGAGGAGAGGAGTTTCAGGGGCGGCCGCGCCAGCTCGCCGCGGCGCCCGCCAGCCGGGGCAAAACCCCTGAACAGTTTTTGAGCATCGATGGGTAAGAAATTGTTGAGGAATCGCTTTGACCAACTTTAATTAAGCTTGGCATACTTTTAAAGGACGGGTGATTTTAGGAGACCAAATGAATTTACTTTAAAAAATTATCCAGAAATGTTGAATTGAAGAGAGCATTCAGGGTCACGCTATCTCAACGAGTCATGAATGTTTTTCTCCTCCGTAGATTCGATAGCACTGAGTTGAGCTACGCTACCGCCGCCTGCCGGCGGGCGGCGCGGCGGTGGTTGCGTCCGGCGCCGCTAGGTGTCACCACTTACTGGAGGCGAGCTCGGCGGAGCGCGGCAGGCAGGGGTTGTTGAGGACCTGGCGTACCAGACCCGGTGCTGCGGCACACGGCACACAGAGAGCGTGCAGACACACAGACACACACAGACTGACAGACGGCAGCCCCGCTCATACAGACAGACACACACACCGCGCAGGACGGCAGGGACGGGCGGTGGGTTGGATGAATGACGTAGGGAATAGTCGCAGATAATCACTTGGGGAGTCTCGGGACGTTCGCAGCAGGATGCTGGAAAAGAATATCAAACGAGGATAATCGATATTTCAAAGCTGAAGATCGTTTGACTCGCTTGAAAAGCACAGTCAGAGTCATTGTGTTTAGACGGACAGACCATGAGGGTTGGGATTGTGCATAGCGGTGTCTGAAAGTCCGGTTAGTCACTCGGAAACACAGCACACCATGCCTGGAGCCTGGGGCGCCAAAACATTACCGGCTATAGACAGACGGCCAAGAAGAGACGAGTGCACAATCACAAAACCCACAAACACTATAAACTATCCCGGTATTCATTTCCCAATGTGCATTAATCGGTTGCAAAACTGGTGTCCCTGGTCTAAATATCTAGCATTTACATTAAAAAAAGAAGAATCTGCAAATGAAGTCAAAAGTGAGCCTATATACAATTAAAGGCAAGTGATCGCAAATGCGTAATACGGCCAGCTATCTGAAAAAAACACTGGATGATGATGACAATGAATTTCGTGCGTAAGTGGCGCAGCCGGCGTTTTGCTTTGTTACCGAAAAGCGCCAAAGCGCGGAGGACGGTCACAAACGCGTTATAAAGCATTAACACAAAGCTATCAATGACGGCGATATGAATAAACCGAGCGGGACTCTCCATAGTTTGACATTAGTGAAGCGGCCTCTCGCCTCCGCTAGTTTGGTAGATCCAGGGACACCATGTTAGTATTTCCAACACCTTGTCACCAAAACCATTCCCCTCCATTTCCTCAGCATGCCCAGACTCCGCAGGCACCCAGCTGAACCCATCGCATGGGCCGTTCGTTAGCGCCGTAGCGCCTACGAGCCGCCGGCGGGTGACTCACTGCTGGTCTCGTCTTTGACGCTGTACGATTTGGACGAGGAGCGGCCGGTAACGCCCTTCATGAAGAAGCGCAGGTCGGACGGGCTGGAGATGCCGTGGACAGAGTCCCGTCGGGACCGGCCCGGTACTTCCTCCAGCAGGCCCTGGCAGCCGAGCAGACTGAGGGGAGGGGGGGGGGGCAGGTCAGGTCATGTCAGGTCTTCTCCAGCAGACCCTGGCAGCCCAGCAAACTGAGAAAGGGGGCGGGGAGGGTCAGGTCAGGTCATATCACCTCCTCCAGCAGACCCTGGCAGCCGAGCAGACTGAAACGAGAGGTCAGGTCAGGTCACGTTACATCACTAAAAGCTGAGGGTGACCGCCCAGCAGTCTGGGAGAGAGGTGGGTCAGAACAGGTCAGGACAGGTCACTTCTTCCAGGAAATCCTGACAGTCTGCACAACAGCCCTAACTACAGCATTTCTGCAAATCGCTCACGGCAACGAGGACACACCCAATCCCCCTCGCCAACAATTGGTCGGTGCCTTATCTATACAGCAAATACTACTTCAAGCAGCCCCTCCCCAACCCCAAAACCCCCGCACCCTCCCCTCTCTCTACCCTCCCTTTCCTCTCTCTTACCGGACTTCCAGTTTTCCGGTGACGGCTGCCGTTTTGACCACATTAGTGCTGGGCCGGTAGCGCAGTGCGCCTGGACAGGGGGCCGCCGGGGGCGTGTCGCGTGGCTCCACACTGCGCCGGAAGTTCTCCAGACTGGCAGAGTTGGTGGAGGGTGACTGCACCTGGTCCAGGTCCTCCTTCAGCTCGTCAGCCTTCAGGGAGCCTGGGGGAGGGCAGGGGAGTGATGGTGAACTTGTTGGAGGAGGAAAGATGGAAGATGCTTAAAGTGACACTGAAGTTGACTTCGTCACAAATTCGGAACGATAACTTACGCTACTGTAGTCGGCAGAGGTGACGATAGAAACGAGACACGAAAACTATAACAGGCAAGGGAGGAAAAAAGGTATACAAATTCCACCAAATGGCAGGGGGATAGTTGGACGCGAGCCTTTCAATCCAACAATGACGAAACAGCAAATAATGACATCTGCATCTCTGGGTAACTGGTTGAATTGAGCAACAGTCAGATTGAAAACTACGCGTTTCAGAAAAGTAAGATTCATTCTCTGTCACAGGTGAACAGCTTTCAACATCCACTGCGTTTTCGTCTACTCTACGGTTTTCATCCACCATATACCCTCTCGAGTCCCGGTCAGGTAAAAACCCCACAGGTGCTCGCTGCTATAGAGGACCGGTCGACAGTCAGGGACCGTCTGTCATCACAGGGGCACAAAGACGCCCACCTGACAACTGGCCCGGCACACACACAGACACACACTCAGTACTCTGGGGAGTGGGACGGATCAGGGACGACAGGGACGAAAACACAGTGCACTGACGGCTGTGTGACGCACTGTTGTGAAACTGGGCACTCGCACAGTTTCACAACAGTGCGAGGCTCACAGACGGTATTGTAGAGCGCTGGGTGAGATGTTGAATACATCGCATTGGTAGGGAGAATGTGTCTAACGAACACAAAAAGAAACAAATTTCAACAATAATGCGAAGATCACTTAGATAAATATTTCAATCACGAAAGACGCAATCAACGAAAGCGGTTATTCACTAAAACCTATAGGGGTTTAAGAGAAATTTACTACAAGATCATGAGTACAATACGGTGCGCTAGCCTAAAACAATAAATAAAAAATGCATCCCCATCAAAGCCCCATCCAGCCCCATCTACAACCGTTCCGCACAGTACGCCCCAATGAGGACCCTGCCGTCTCGTGTTTCCCATTTCTCTCACCAGGTGGCAGCTCCTTCCGCCGTCGGTCCAGCGAGAGGCGGAGCAGGTCCAGCTTCCTGCTGGATTCCTGCAGACTCTGCTGCGCCTGGGGAAGGACGTGACGAACGTCAAGGGCGGCTTCATAGCGTAACAGCGCCGTGAGAAGGCGGCACAGCGCAGGTGGGGGAAGGATAAAGTTACAAAAGGCTTATGTATTGGGCACATACTGTTCAATACAGCTGAAATTAAGAACGGTTCAAAACAAAGGATCTGTAAATGCTGAAAATTCACGAACAAGTGTCAACGAGCGAATGCAGTGCGTATATGCGCATTGCGCACAGTGGCATCTAAGTAAGTCAGGTGAGCGCGGGGAACAGCTGGCACAAAGCCGTCGATTACAGCAAGCCCCACAAATTCATCCCACCACCAAGCGACACCTCACTCTCTGTAGACACCCCCTCCCCCTCCTCCCTACCTGATCGTCCCGGGACGACCTCCTGAGCAGTGTGGCCTTCAGCGCGGCCACGCGGCTCGCCTGGCCGGGCCGGTAGTGCCGCTCCTCCCCCTCACCCCTGCTCCCCGCCCCCTGACCCGGCCCCACACGCCGCGCCGTCTCCATTAGTGATATAGAGCGCTGGAAGAAGAGCTGTTTGAGCGCGCGCCGGCGCCGCCCCAGCTCGAGAAGCTCCTCGACGGAGCGGGAACGGCGCGGGGGAGGTTCATCCTCCATAGGCCACTCGTCACCGCTGTCTGTTAGGAGCTCAGACTCCGAGTAGAATTCAGACTCGGATGAGCCAGGGCCTGATGAGCTAGATGAGCCAGAGGAGCCAGAGGAGCTGGATGAGCCAGAGGCGGAGCTGGATGAGCTCTCGGTGGAGCTGGAGCTGGCCTTTCTCAGCGCGTGCTGCTGAGCCAAGGACCGCAGCGTCAGCACCGCCTGTTTGAGCGCGCCCAGTCGAGCGGCCCGCTCGGAGTTAGGTGATAGACGCAGTGTCGGCGGCGCGGGCACATCCAGTTTGGAGCGGTCCTTGTCGACCGCTAACCCGGGCTTCACAGTGGAAAGCGCATCTGAACCCTCAGAAGCCGCACAATCCCCCTCCACCAAAGAAGTCCTTCCTGAATCTGCTGACTCTCCCTTTTTGGGCTGTTCTTCATCCGGGCTCATTACATGTTCGCTCCGTGTACCGTCCAGTGACTCAGCACTACCATCCCGACCCCTCTCCGGTCCCTCCGTACCCTGGACTGTCCCCCCAGCCCCACTCGGCAGTCCCCCACCCGTCCTCCGCTCAGTCCGGGGTTTATAGATGACCGTCGCGGCACTGTTGGAGCTCGCACCACTCTCGTCACTGTCAGAATACACGGCCTGAGCGTGTAGCGCCGACAGTCGCGGCACCAGATCGGGTAGGTCGTGGGATGACGGACGGTGTCGGCGGGTCGGCAGGAGAGGGTCTGGGAGACGCTTAGAGGCCGCACCACCCTCCCCTGCTGCTGGCTCAGTCTCTGTCGCTCCAGCCACAGACAACTCAGACGCAGCCGCCAGTATGGACGTCTCACTGCGTGCTTTGCCAGCCGCGCGGAGCCGCCGCCCCGCCGTCTTCCCACCGCCAGCCGCCGAGACATTGAAGAGCGACTTTGATTTCCACGCCGAGTGTTTGAACCGGGCGCGGTGGCGACCGTCCTCGGCCGGGCCAACGCGCCGCTTTTGTCGCACGCGATCGACCAGACCGCGCCAGAAACCGCGCGCCTTCACCACGTAGCGGCCGTAGGCGTCCGACATAGCGGTGACCTGCGGCGGGTCAGGTCACTGGAAGTCACAAGGGTTTCTGATACAACCTTCGTCACTACTTCTAACACCGAAGGTCACCAGCGTCTCAGACACAAGAACTGTCCTGGACACCTCTGGCACCTGCAGAGTTCACCAGTCTCACTAAGCCACTGACTCTGATCCACCTGAGACCAGAGGTCCGTTCTCCAGTCTCTGACACAGGGTCTGTCTTTCTGAAACAGATGATACCACAGCTCACCGACACCAATGACGATGTTCAGGTTCTTTTTCAGGACGCCCTGACCGCAGAGGTCATCAGCACCCTCACAAATATCCAGCTGTGTCAGTGTTACACCTGGTGTCAGTGTCGCTCGATAGTGTCACGGCTGACAGTCTGGAGCTGACAGCTGACGGTCAGGTGACAGTTCGTAAACAGCATGCTGTCGGCGACTCACGGTCACTGAGGGCCCTCACCGGCACCAGCGTAACAGTCACGCACTATCTGTCCACACATAAGCATGGCGCTTTACAGGCTCTTTGCCAGCACGTCTGTCGACTTCTGTTCTGGGGATCAGTCACAGGCTTCAGAAGTGAACACTGTTCTCCTTTTCACTATACCACTGCTCACCATAGTTCGTGCGCTACAACTGTTCTGATACGCCACTTCTATTGTATCGTCACTCATGAGCGTTCGTTTGTTTCTTTTGGTTTTGTTTGTTGCCTCGGTTTGTTTCTTCTATCAGCCACCAGTCGCGCTACTGCAGACCTGACGAAACCGGGGACAGCCCCCAGGGCAAAGAAGACAACAAACTGCACTGCTAGCCGCTCTGTTTTCAAACCCCGTCACCTCATCCGTCCAGCGCACAGACCCGTCTACACAACACTCGAGCTTGATCCACTGCTCTTTTCTTGCTGCACAGTTAGTTTTAACCACACACACCCGTCCGAGCCCCCACACAATCACTCCACACTCCACTTTCTGCTGTCCCCCTCCTTCAGCCGTCCAGAAGCCCACAATCACAGACAAGCCAGTCTTCCAAACACTTGCATCCATACGCTAGAGTTCTCACGTCCACAGACTCTCACACCGCGCGCAGACTGCCCGCCCGTCTCTCAGCTCCGACCACCGGCCGGTCGGTAGGTCGGCAGGCGGTAGAGCGCACGTGTCGACGGTACACGATCGATATCGAGTGCTCCGGCCCCGCGGCCGCTACCGCTGTCGGGACAGCCGGTGTGGGCACAACACCTGTGGGGACGGCGACTCCGCCCACGACTGGCGACGGTATAGGAGCGAGAGAACGGAAAAGAACGGCGGAACGAACCGACAGAGCGTAGCAGAGACAGACGGAACAAATGGTGCGACTGAAACGATGCAACTGATCGAAGGAACGATAACGATAAGTAAATGACCAATCGACCCGAAATTCGTGCTTGAACCACGCAATGTAAAATAATTACCTTTTTCAGTCCAATTCAACATAGAATGTTTTATTTCTGAAGCGAAACACCGTATCCGCAGAACCATTTGTACTTTCAGTGATGTCGAAACATGTTCGTTACATGCAAGCACACAACTGGATCGCATGCATCTCTTTATATTACGTAAGAAGACATGACAAGTCGCCCATCCATTGATCCATTCTAGAGGCGTCAGTAGGCCCCACCTACAGAAGGTGGTGTCATCAGCATACACCATGACATGGCTCCGAGCTGAGTGGTAGGTCCCCGCGCCAGCTGTGACCCCCCCCCCCTTCCCGGCTCAGGTGTCGGGGGGGGGGGGCGGTGACAGCCAGGGGGTGACTCACACTCTGGTGAGGTGGGTGGTTATAATAAACAGGTGATAACCGGTCAAAGGTCAGGGCGAGTGTTAACAACGCAGAAAGGAGGCGTCTTGAAATCATGATCATCAATGAAGACTTGATCAATTAATCAATGAATCAATGAATCAACCCTACAGTGCAGGATATATATTGAGCAGCAAATACACACCATCCGACGGCCATGGGTAGCGCTATGCTTAAGGACAGCACAGGAGTTCATGGATCACGATAAGCCAGCACAATTCATTACATGCCACCAGCGTGCGAAATTTCAACACAAACATGAGGATTATCATATTTCCACTTCAGATTCAAAGGCATGGACTAAATGTGGCAGTGTTATGCTCCTGCAAACTTTCAGTGTAGAGCTCTATATGACCGACTGCAGTTCACGCATACAGCCACCATTTATAGCCAGTGGTAAGCTCAGCAGACATTTGGCCACAACGGCACTCGCACAGGGGACACTAGATAGTCGTCACTTCATAATAAGTTTCGTTTTCCAGCCTTCCCACCTGTCGGTCCCACCGATTCTTGTCGTCTTCGCAATTCCCTCCTCTCGGTCCGTGGTCCTACAGAGGACCGTGTGGTCTCCCGGACCAAACTACTCCCAGATGGAGACACAGAGGAGTCTCTCACGGGCACCCAAAAACCGTCACCACTCCCACACAACACAGACGCCGAGCGGAGGTCGGATGACGTCCTGTACAAAGCCCTGTCCGCTCCGCGGCGCATCGGCAGGGATCTGTCAGGGGTGGGATTTCGAGAGATCCTCTCTTCATGGTAGCATGCCTCCAGGGACCGGCAGAGGTTGGATGTCGTCCTCCGCAGAGGCTTCTGACCTCCCTGCTGAGGTGACGGTGGTACCCTTAGGTCAGAGGTCGTCCTGTGTAGAGGCTTCTGTTTGCCCTCTTTGAGGTCGGTTGTCGGTTTAGGCACTGACCTATGATGACCTTCCCTGAGGTCAGAAGTCGTCCTTCCCAGTGATCTCAGTTGTCCCTCTCTGAGATCAGAAGTTGTCCTGCGCAATGACCTTTGTTGACCTTCCTTCGGGCCAGACGCCGCCCTCTGTAGTGACCTATGCTGTTCTCTGAGGTCAGATGCCGTCCTTGACATTGACCTCTGTTGAGCCTCCCTTATGTCAGAGGTCACCCTGTGTAGAAGGTGACCCTCTGTAAGGTCAGAATCCGCCCCGTACTCCGTCTGTCCAGGGGTACAGCACCTCTCGGCTATCAGACCCCCGCGACCCCTCCGCCGTCCCCTCCGGGGGGAGCGGGACGCACTGAGTCGCTCTCCCTCCGCCTCCTGACCTCTGTCACGGGCCACCAGGCCCCGGTCGGCGACTGGGGTTTCCTCTGACGGTACGGACAAGGTACCGGTAGGAGAGCGGGCAGCTGGCTGGTCTTCGAGCGCCGCCTCTGGCGCCTCAGCTGCCGGTACAGAAAACACCAAACCACAGTCACTTCCAGCACACCCAGCGCTTCCATCATCACACTGTGTTTCCTCTTCTCTCTGCGCTGGGACAGAACGGCTGTCCCGTCTCTTATACAAACGGTGATCGCTCGCCGGTCGGTGTAGCATTGTCACTGAAGAGCAGCCATCACTGCAGTGGCCGGACCTGTCGCTAAAACCGCCTGACTTGTGACCGCAGTCGTCCGACCTGCCGCTACAACCCGAGTAATGACGCTGTGAGCGGGGGCGGGGGCGGGGGCGGCCGTGGGGCAGGGATCCTAGAGCCGTCACCAGTGCCGCCCACACAGTATCCAGAGCACCACCGTCACCAACTCTATAACCACGGCTATCACCAACTCTATCACCAGTTCTATCACCACGCTCACTAGCTTCATCAAACCGAGCCGGTCTCCGCCTACCGCAGTCCTCACACACGCCCAGCGGAGTGCCCCAGCCCTCTCCGACGGACGGCGAAGCTGAGCCGCCGCGCCACTGCCAGCCGTAGGAGCGGCGCCCGGCCGAGCTCCAGTCCAGCGAGCACAGGTCCGGAGAGGTGACGGTACGCCGCGGGGGCCGGGAGGACGGGGCAGTGCGGTCCGGAGTGACGGCCGTCGACCGCTGCCGGCGCCGGACGGAGCGCGGGGTTTCGTTACTTGTCGCCCTATCTCCTTCAGTGTCTTCGGCTGTCTCTCCACCTGTCTCTTCAGCCGTCTCTCTGTCCGTCTCTGTCCCCAGTCGACGCCGCTGCTTTCCATCTTCTTCCAAACTCACCACCACCCGCACCAGACCCGACCCTTCTCTCGTCCCTCGTCTTTCTGTCTGCGTTCCAGTCTCATGAGTACTTGAGCAGGCCACTTCACAGGATCTGCCCGGAGCGGCATTGGAGATATTAGAGACGCACGAGAAGCTCAGGCTTCCCGTAATAGCTGGGGTGTGGAGAGATACGCTCAGAGACATGGGTCCCGTACCTGGGCACTGTTCATGATACTGCCCGTGCGGACACGGATCCGGACACCGGCCAGGATCCGGACACGGTCTGTGACACTGTCCACAACACGCCTCAGGACACTGTCCTCTGTCCCTTCTCCGACACTCTCCCGGACTCCTCTCGTCACACTTGTTCTCCACTCTGTCTCTCGTTCTCTCACTCTTTCCTCCGCTCCGCTCAGCCATGGCTCTGCCGTCGGCCGGCGGCACTGCTCACAGCGCCACACTGGTCTGCTGGGTGGAGCTGAGGGCCCACGCCAGCTGGCGGCGCCGACTTGTCGTCATCTCGCCGCTCTGCCAGCGAGAGATCAGTCACAGCAAATCGGGATCGCTTGGTAACTCAGACCCTGGATGATATGACGAAGATCAGCTTCCACTGTTCTTGAGAGTTCCGCCATTGATGGAATAACAGAACACAAACGAATCCCATTCATTCATTCCACTGTCGTCTGTCCTTGGTGTCGTTTGTTGTTTCTGAGTGGGCGTGTCTCTCTCGGACCAGTCAGTCCCGCTGGCACCGCTCAGAAACCAGGCGCGGCGCCAGGCCGACTCTGCTGACATCTATCAGGGAGAGAACGAACTAACCCCCTGGCCGCCGGCCGGAAATGTGATGAAACGAAATGACCGCGACCACCCGAGGTGCCAACTTGTTGGGGACAGGCGAGGAATGGGTGGTAAAATCCGCCAGAGAAAAAAAAACGGAGTGATTCGCCAAGGTGACACATTCACAACAGTCGCCAACTTGTCTTCTGAAGAATCGATCGTCGTTAAATAAAAACAAGCCACACCCATCTGAAAACCCCCGCCTGTGAAACCAGCACCTCGGTTTACCGATCACACCTCAAACCATAAACAAAACTTGGAACCATTTGGCCGTCCGGCCCGCCTTATCCGTCACGCCGGATCTATTTAGACACGTGACAGTGACGGTCTGTACTGGCGTCACCGTGCGTCACGTCACGTGACGTCTAATCACGCTCCTGGGGCCCAGGGCCAACGTAAATACACAGCCCGCACCAGAGGTCATCCGACGCTGACAAACGACCTTAGAACGTCCGGTCAGGTGGTAAAGGGACTGCTCTGCCATAAACGAAGGAGGAAGCGTCTCAGATATCCGCACATTGGTCGGCTAGAAAACCGCCGAATATTGAACATGTCTGAATATTTGTGAAGCGGCTGTTGCCATGAGGAGACGGATTTCGGAAAATAGCGACTCGGTGCAGCGGCGGGTGAGCATAGTAACGCTAATAAATCTGCTCAACAGATGGCGCGCGGAGCGCCGCTTTATCAGGTGCAGTCGGGTCGCGAAATACGTCACCTCTGCAGGACGCTTCTCCCTTCAAACGGACCTTATGATACCGAGTTAAGCATTCAGTCGCGAATATCTACCCGATATCTGCATCAGTAGTAACCGCTACAACCCAACAGCTACCGATAGCGGTGCTACAAATAGCGCCTCGGAAAGGCATCTGACATGTCAGTCAATATCTGCACCGTGCAATCAGTGAGAGTTGTTGATTCAGTGGAAAACTTGAAGCTTGATTTTCGAGTGTCTATCTACGAGCGCTTCCTTGCCTGTGCATGCATCCACTCAGAGGAAACGTTACCCAAACATCGATCTAATTCATGAGTCCTATCTCACCGTATACGAACTAACCGACGCCAACGGGACGCGCGTATATCATCAATCACTCCAACGAGCCGCCAAACATGGAGTTATCCACCGGGCAGCCTGTCATTACCCGACACAATGTTGACAGATTTGACCGTCATATGGAGCCATATGACAAATTATGACGTGATTGAGGATTCCCAGAGCGTATTATCGGTCCATGTGACGGAAATGTATCGGTTTATCGCATGTAGCCAATTGTCGCCATATGTCACGGCAAACGTATGTGTAATTTTACACCAGTTATCAATTTACACTTCCGCTTTGCGTCAACTACATACCTACGTGAGAACACACACCAGAAATGGTATACTTGAAGCACGTAACCTTATTCTTGACTAAATCATCACCTGATTAGCAACTGCAAGGCAGCCAGGTGGCACATACAGTCCAAGACTTTTCTTCTCCCCTCACCTCTCTACCTCCTCATACCCTCTTTCTTTCTCTTTCTCCCTCCCTCCTCTCTCCCCAAACTCCCTTTCTCCTTCTCTCCCCCTCTCTCACCTCCTGTAGCGCCTTCTTATCGGTGACTTTGCCGCTCTGCAGCAGCCGTATGGCGTTCTTGGCTCCGTCCATCACTGCCGTCTCAATACGCAGGTGGTGGCGCAGCTCCTCGATACGCACATCCAGGGGCGTCAACTGGCTGGTCTCGTACGCCCGGTCCACCGCGGACGCTGTGGGGGGGGGGGGCAGGGGTGATCAGGTCACAGAGGTCAGTTGAGGTCAGGGCAGGTCATAGAGGGATCAGCTGAGATCAGGGCAGGGCACATAGGGATCAGTTGATGAGTCTCGTACGCACAATCCAAGTCCATACACAATAATTTGTCAGATACCTTACCTTTGTTACTGAAAAAGTACGAGAGCTTATATGAATAACCCGTGGAATGTACTAAAATAGCCATCAGACTGAACTGGGACTAAGCCTAGTCTCAGATTTTACCTTAACAATGTTGGCAAAATGAATGAACTGAAACAAAGACCTACTGCATTAACTTTAAGTTACAGGAGATCAGACCGATCAACACTTTTCATAACACCGCTGTCATAAAGCTCCTTACATCTGCTCACACCTGTTCGAGCCCTGTCTAAGCCAGCCATCACCTGCCGCTTCATCCCATTCACGGCCAATATCCAGTAATGCCACCATCACGACCGTAATATTCCGTTGGGCCTCACATTAGATCTCTATGGGCCTCAAAGGTTTGTCGACAAGACAGGCGAATGAGAGACGGCGGGGGGAGGGGGTGAAATATAAGCGGGGGAACAGTTAGTGGCCAGGAGACATCGAGAGCTGCTAGAGATCACAAGACGCTGCAGGTACAAATGTAACCGTCAGACGTAATCGAAACCAGGACATTTTTCTGGAACACTCTGTAGGATCATGAACTGCGACGAACAGGTTAACAAATACCGAAAGGAAGAATCGTGGAGTACCCAAGGCAGCATCACGAATCACGGTAGATTAAATCACGAGGAACGACAGGTCAAGTCACTCGCTAGGTTTATAAAGACAGGTATATCCGCCTGACGACAGAAGATCGTGAGACCGACCTTAAAAATATGACTCGGTTTATGACTCGGTTTTAGAGCATTGTTGTGCACCCAGTGAGGAACGTCCAAATAAACCAAACAAATAATACGCAAAACATCCAAACCTACTGATGCCTCTCGATGGTAGTACATCAGAAGCCCTTCAATACCCGTGCAGCCCTCAACGTGTTACTGCACGTGTTGTGCATGTAAACCGGGCGCCACAACACTGCCCCTCCCTCCCTGCTGAGAAGAGGGGGAGGGGGAGAGGGGGTGCAGGAGAGCTGGGAAAACCCAGCGCTATGGCCCGGACTGGACGGGCGAGCGGGCGGCTGGCTGGACGGGCAGGCTATGGACAGAGTCTCGGAACGGGAGAGGAGACAGGCAGTCACGGACGACTACACAGTCTCTACTGAGGCTGCTCCTGTCCTATTTCTTCCAACTCGAGCCCCATGGGAACAGCCACTGCGGACCACGCGTGCCCACAAAGGGAGGGATAGGTAGAGTCAAACTGAGCAGTCAGAGTACGGTTTACACAACACTACCTTAATTACCGTTACATAAGCTTCAGGAGAGGATCGATATGGGAGGGCACATACCTAACCACTAGGCACCAGTCGCAGGGCAGACACTTTGCTAGGATAGCAGACTCGGCACTGGGATATAAAAGGGAACAAAACTCGACATTGCAACTCTGACCTGACCCAATCAGAGAACGTAACAATACCTGCCGTCGTCACAGAGTTACGAATGAATAATAACACTAATCACAGGGCTTTAGGACAGCCGATCTGATACCAGTTATAACCGCGTCCCTCTGCGATAGTTACCGATGGACCGGCTCTCGCCGACGGAGCTCTGTGCCACGTTCTGACTCAGTTTGTTGATGCGCATCTTGATGTAGTCGATTTTGGCCTTGGCGTCCTCGAGCATCTGATGCGCATCGGCCAGCAGCTTCTTACTCTGCTGGCCGCCGGCCGAGTACATGCTGATCAGGTTCTCGGCGCCCTGCTTCACCTGAAAGAGCGGAAAGGGGTCAGGAGGAGCACATACTCGGAGAGCAGGCACATAGGTCATGGGAAAGCACATACTGTGGTACAAGCATAGAGAGAGGAGATAGGTCAGAGAGTGAGCACATACTGTGATACAGGCGTAGATAGAGGGAGGGAGACACGTCAGGGAGTGAGTGAGACAGGAGTGAACTTTCATACTCATTTCTGGCTAGTTCCGCAGTGAGGCACAAATCAAAACAGTTGATGAGTTTCAGTCCAATATGCTGTGTTTTCACTCAGCCTATCTATTGCAGACATTTAAGAAAGTGTCGGTGGGCGCACCGAACATTCATCAAGAGCCCTGTCTACTGTTAAAGCCACGCCTGACTGGGAAACTTTCCACTCTAGTAACGACGTGGCAATTGTCGAAAACGAGTCGGGACTAGTTGCAAACCGTCGCGACCGCCCCGCCCATGTCACGAGCAGGGAGAGAAAGCACCGCCTCCGGTACCGCCGACAGACAGACAGACAGACAGACAGACAGAAAGACAGACAGACAGACGGGCAGACAGACGGGAGGCAGGCCGGATCCACCCACTGGCTATGACGCAAGTTGCAACAGTCATAAACGCCAGTCTATTACCACTGAACGGGGGCATGGTAACAGACAAATGTTCCACAGCCGTAAAGGTGCTCTGCGCACACCACAACCCAGGGCTGGTACGTGGCTGCGTGAGTTGAATCGGAACCACTATTATGTTATGGTCTAATATGCTATGTTCCACTATGTTACGTTCTACTAGCGTTACTTTGCAATGGTCAATATTATAGTGAATTCGTGAACACTATGGAAATCATCAAACGAGCATCGGCGCGATTCATTTGGGTGGATGCCATCAGCAAATGGGCGTCGCCTTAGTCAGCCATCCCCATCAGCCTATCACCATCCCTCTATCCTTGACGGGTCATTGGCCACTCAACACAGAGATCTGCCCCCAGGCCAAGCGGTGAGTGAGTACACACGTAAGCAGCAGCAAGCAGGCGGAGACCCGTGCCCCCGGGCGACTCTCGTTACTGTCCGCACCGTACGCCTCTCTTATCTCTGCTAGCTATTCGTTCATTGCATCCAACGCTGCATTCATTCAACAGTATTCTGCAAAGATACTCAGCCCGAGTCTTTAGCATCATCAATCTTCATTGAATTGTACCCTCACCGCTCCGTCATTGCCTTTACAGTGCGTTGTAACGGTCGAAGCACCAGCCTCGCAATCAACAGACGCACCGCGCGCCTTACAACGGACGTAGTTAGCAAGAGATGGCCGGAAGGCAGGGAATGGCGACCGACCTGCCACCTGGTGGTCAGGGGTGGTACTAGGACAGTCGGCAGAATGGGCTATTAGTGCATAGTGGAGTGAGTCATAGAAGGGGTCGAGATGGTAGGGTTGATACTGCCGGGGGAGGAGGTGATTCCCCAGCCATTAGCTGTGCATCCGACATGAGGTAGAGAGAGAGAGAGAGAGAGAGAGAGAGAGAGAGAGAGAGAGAGAGAGAGAGAGAGAGAGCGAGAGCGAGAGCGAGAGCGAGAGCGAGAGCGAGAGCGAGAGCGAGAGCGAGAGCGAGAGCGAGAGCGAGAGCGAGAGCGAGAGCGAGAGCGAGAGCGAGAGCGAGAGCGAGAGCGAGAGCGAGAGCGAGAGCGAGAGCGAGAGCGAGAGCGAGAGCGAGAGCGAGAGCGAGAGCGAGAGCGAGAGCGAGAGCGAGAGAGAGAGAGAGAGAGAGAGAGAGAGAGAGAGAGAGAGAGAGAGAGCTCGATGTCGGACACATACTTCATACCCTTTTTGTTTCTATCGCGAAAAGAAGGCATACAGAAGATGACCTAAGTGTAGCTTCTTGTGTGTGTTTGTTCCGTTCTAGTCCGTAGCTGACCGAAATATTTACCTTCATCTCGATGTCGAGCTGCCGCCCCAGACTCTGGTGTCGCTGGTGGGTGTGTATGTCTGTGTGTCTGTATCTGTATCTGTGTACATAGTATCTGTCGTATCTACCTTCATCTCGATATCCAGCTGCCTCCCCAGACTCTGAAGCCGTTGGTCGGTGGTGGTGAGCGGGTGGTCCTCCAGGGGAGTGTCTCCAATCGGTGACATCGGAGCCTCTGTAACACACACACACACACATACAAACACGGTCAAGAGTCATACGTGTGCGGTGTGACAGTTTCAATAGGGATGACGCGGGGTCACGATATACGAGACACGATATGGGTACGATGTAAAGTTAGGAATGTCACAACCACATTGAAAACAGCATCAACAGCAATGTCAAGTAGCGCAAAACAAGGACAATCAAGTGGGGACAATCAATGATGCGCTTGTCAAATTTAACAAGTATGATCAAAGTACACGATCGATGATCAGAAGCCTAAGCTTTATAGCAGATAGGCTATAATCAAACTATGCACCTGGGGTTATCAGGTCAATGATCAGCATACCTACCACATGACACCAGTAGTCGGTGGCATTTGTGACCAGTTATCAGCACCCAGTTATCAGTATGCGTTGCAATCAGTGAACAACACTACGCATAGGCACCTTCTGCTAATAAATGACAATTGCCCTTACCAACTGGTGGCAAACCGCCACCTCCTTTCCGAGTGCGCCGGACAGTGATCGGCGTTCGGACCATAACGGACCGGGGTCAGGTCAGATCGGCTGACCGCGGCTCATCAAAGCTAACTAGCAGCAGGGGTGGCCGGCCAATGGCGGCCCGTACAGAGGTCATACCGCAGTGACACACTCCCACGATAGACGAGCAGGGATGGACCGCACAGCGCTAACTAAGTACCTACCCAGCGGAGTACGGAGGGAGGCCCCGCGCTCCACGTGCGAGGAGCAGGGCAACCGATGCCAGACACTGGTGTGCATTGTAGGACTGTGGCGAATGGTGTGTCGTGAGAAAATTGTCGGCTGGATGTGGGGCTTCAGGTCAGCTAACGGCCCAGTGCATTTGACTGGAAGATGCGTATAAAAAAAGAGCTAGCTAGACACCGCTTGGTGCTCAATACCAGCTGTGAGAGCACTTAGCGCAGTGAAACGGCCACAAACCAGCATCAATGAAGCTCAAGCCTTGGCAAAGCAACCGACTTATCTCCAAAACATTTGACAAGAATGCCAAAACAAAGGATGCGAGAGCTTAAGTGCGTCAGCCGAATGTCTCGCGCCAATCACTTTCAATTCTGCGCCCGAAATCACTGGGTGAATACGTCAGCCTGTCGCACATCCCCAGAGCTTCCACCCAGTATTGTGCGACAGAGAACAGGCCAAACCCAGTTCGGCGGTGTCCTTGAGACGAACAGCTAATCCGGACCGAATGCTATCTGATCCATCTGTCCATGACCTTCAGTTCTTCTATGAACCTCTGAACACCTGAGACGAGCGAAATAAAACATCGAGGCTGCCCTACTCTTCACATAATCATCCATCTCAGACACACACACACGTGACTACACCTACTAAACTCAGCAAAAACGACCCGTTCCTCTATCTCCCGCCCACAAAAACGACGCTAAAACCTCGCTCGACACAATGGCACACATTGCCGCTGGTTCTAGCCGGTCCGGTCCACCACCCGACCAGCTGGACCATCCGACGGACCATTGGACCGGACCATCTGTCCATGGTCCCGGAGCGCGCGCAGGACCGGCGGGACCGAACAAGGTCACAGCGGTCCGGGTCGGGCCGGTTTTTGTCACAGAGCGGTCACTCCGCCGAGGTGCTCTCGATTCACCGGTGACGGCAGCGTTACAGAGATATGAGGCATGATGACGCATGGTGCTGGTAGGAACCGTTACAGGGACGAGGGGATGGGTTGAGATGACGGGTTTATAGTGCGTACTGATGGTCGGATAATGGAGGCAGATCCATCAGAGATGTGCATTATTCACCGAACAATGTTCAGTACTTTCAGAGAAATCAAATGAATTGTAGTAGTAAAATGCACGAGTTATTTTCGCATCTCAGTTGACAGACGCAAGTAGTAACGAAACGTGCGAACAATTATGAGACTCAGATGATATCGCACCTATAGAAGTTAAAACATTGCTCAACTGTATACGAACTCCCTCGTCCGATGTTCATGTAAAACAGATAGTGCGTCATTCATCCACTCAGCGAAGTGGCATTTAAACCAGCCGCGCTATAAATAGCGACACCGAGTATCGGACCATGCGATACCCCATCGCTTGGCGATACGCTCCACACACAATGGGGCCCGTTAGACTATCGCGCTCCGAAGGTGTCTCGACGGACGGCTGGGTCGTCACGGTGTGGGGTGTGAGTGACAGGTTACATCACGGAATACGTTACGCGTTCCATGGTGTCGTGTCACAACACAGACCTGCCACACGACTGGAATGTAGCGGAGGATAGGGCGTATTGTCAGCGACAGCAGTCGCCGGACTGGCCTTAGAGTGACAACGAGCGGTGAACCGAACCTGGGCAATGGGCAAAGCTTGGCGAGCAGATCCGTGACTGAGGAGCGAGTGAGAGTTTCTCGTGAATGAAAGGAACTTTATCAGATCACCAGCCACTCCGCCATTGACGTGAACACCTGCCTCATCCGAGCTCTGGCAGTCAGCTGGCTGAAGCTCATCCGCCCGCCGGCTACAGCCCACCTGTTCATCTCTCGCCGTCTCCTTCACGGCTGATAATCCGATTTTCCAAACCCATCATCTCTCTCCGACCGGTCTTTCTGCCTCCAAACCACGGACACGACCACAGCACGGCAGCAGAGGCGGCGGAGGCGAACCATCACCCATCGCAAACAATTCCCTGAGAGTTCCCTCCCTCTGCCATCTCAGTCAGATTCGAGACAGCTCTCTCCCGTCAGTGTGACCGCGACTTTCGTCATGGCGCTCCGATCAGGGCGGCGCCGGGTCACTGAGGTCACTGAGGTCAGACGGGCACACATCACCGGCAGATTTCGCGCACGTCTCGCTAAACGCCGCCGTACTAGTGGAGAGAGAATCGCTCTCACTTGTGGGTCGTGCCACACTTGTGGGTAATGCGAGCTGCGTGTGGGCGCAGCGTGTTACGTGCTGCTAATATCACATGGTCGGTCTCTATCGACTGTAACAAGGCAAGTGATCTTGGAAAGTGGTTGAGGCAAACATACCGCCTGGGATAAATCAAGTTTCACAATCGTTAAAGGTAGTGTGCCACCTTCCAATGATTTCCCATTTTATTTTTCCTAGGATAAGAAGCTTCTGTTTTTACCTAATATCGCAAAAAATCAAAAATGGGCCTGGAATAGTGCCTTTTTTGCCTAAAAGTTTATCGGTTTTTCGATATGTATAACAACTGTAGTGGGCTGACCTGCAAACAGGCGTCGGCAACAATCGCGAATGCGGCGCACATGTGACATTAAAGGTATAATGTCACATGTGTTGTCGACATTGTGTTGTCTACGATTAGACAGCTGATAACTCATTCCCGTACGTCGTAACTCTATAATGACCTTTGCTTATTGTCACATGTGCGCCGCATTCGCGATTGTTGCCGACGCCTGTTTGCAAGTCAGCCCACTGCAGTTGTTATACATATCGAAAAACCGATAAACTTTTAGGCGAAAAAGGCACTCTTCCAGGCCCATTTTTGATTTTCTTTGCGATATTAGGTAAAAACAGAAGCTTCTTATCCTAGGAAAAATAAAATGGGAAATCTTTCAAAGGTGGCACACTACCTTTAAGCAAAGGTCATTATAGAGTTATAACGTACGGGAATGAGTTTTCAGCTGTCTAATCGTAGATAACGCAATGTCGAACTTAAACTGTAAGCCTGTATTGGTATTGTTTCTTTAATTTGGCTGTCGAACATTAATTTATGGTTTGAAATATGATTTTATGTAAAATAATTGATATGAAACAGCCGTCTCTTAAGTTATGACCCCATTTCACCACACGCAAGTGGCAGAAATGACAATGATCAGCTGACGCATTTTTCTTGGCCGAAGTCAGAGCGCGCGGCCCGACGCACCACGCGTATTTGGAAATTCCGACCTCGACGATCATCAGAAGCCACCTAACAGGCGTGTTCGAAACCGCAGGAGATGATGATGAACGGGTTTATCGAAACTTGATTGGATGAGCCTATCGGTAATAGCGATTTTAGTGTGTGCATTTATTGTTCATAGTGGTGTGAAATGTGGTTGGGGTACGACCGACAACCCGTCGGGGCGAATTTCGCACTGGGGTACTCAAAATTTTAAGAATTTAAGACGTTTCCATGAGTTTTGAAGGTATGGATAAGTTCTAAAAATCTGGTTCTCCTTATCCGGGTCATTAACTCCATATGGTCCAAGAAAGCTGGCACACTACCTTTAATGATTTTGATCATTGATATCAAAGAGAAAAACGGAAGCTTAGAGAGAATATTCAGGGAAATTCAGAATGCTATGGCAAGCACCTGTATCCTGCCACCAGTCCCACAATGTACGAATAAACCTATTTCTTCCTGCCCCTTCTCTTTGCAGCCACTGCGCTCATCCCACAGCGGACCGCGAGCTTCCAAAACGGTAGCTGATCCCCGCCCATGAATCCGTTCCAAGGACACACGATCATAGTCTTCCTAAACAGCTGCTGAAGCGAGTGCGTCGCATGTCTCTCGTATAAGGCGTGACATGTTGTGATTCCCACCTGTCTACCGCATTCCATAAAGAGGAACCAAACGCCTGCCGTTTGGTGAAGACGTAACGCATCAAATTTCTGCCCCGTTCGGACGTTATGTTCAGTAACAGAACACTGGACAGTGACCGCGATGGGACGGCGATAGATACAGTAACGTGACAGTGTGGCTGTGAGTTGTGACGGCCACTTTGTTCGTAATGTCGATGACAATCTGATCAAATCTTGCCACCTGTCTCTCTATCTCCATCACCAGCCTCTCTTCACTCCCGGTGCTAACCCCAGTCCACCGTCACCCACTCGGTCCCGGTATAACAGCCACTTTCCACGGCAGTTGGTCCCGCTCGTAATGCCCGCTTTACACGGTACTTGGTGAACGTCCCGTGAGAGCGGCAGCGGTCGTTAGCAGCCATAGGGCCTTGTGAGGGACGTCTCCAGGCGAGGTGACGCCTTAGCAACGCGGCGTGGATCGTCGG